GTTTCCTGGAGAGGTTGTGGAGTCTCCTTCTCTGCAGATACTCCAAACCTGCCTGGACATCATCCTGTGTAATGTGCTCGAGGTGACCTTGCTTGAGAATGGAGGCTGGACTTGATGATCTCCAGAGGTGCCTTCCWCCCTCAACTATTCTGCGATTCCATGGCACTATAGCTCCACAGGACACATATGGCTCCAGGCACCTAGGCTTATCCATGGCTCCATCCTTGGAGTGTACTCATAGGATATACATGGCTCCACAGGACACACACAGCTCCATGGGACACACACAGCTCCATGGGACAAGCCCAGCTCTATGGGACACCCATGGCTCCATGGGACACCCATGGCTCCACGGGACACACACAGCTCCATGGGACACCCATGGCTCCACGGGACACACACAGCTCCACGGAACAAGCCCAGCTCCATGGGACACCCATGGCTCCACGGGACACATACAGCTCCATGGGACACCCATGGCTCCACGGGACATCCATGGCTCCATGGGACACACACAGCTCCATGGGACATGCACAGCTCCATGGGACACCCATGGCTCCACGGGACACATACAGCTCCATGGGACAAGCCCAGCTCCATGGGACACCCATGGCTCCTTGGGACATCCATGGCTCCATGGGACACACACAGCTCCATGGGACACCCATGGCTCCACGGGACATCCATGGCTCCATGGGACACACACAGCTCCATGGGACACCCATGGCTCCACGGGACACACACAGCTCCATGGGACATCCATGGCTCCACGGGACAAGCCCAGCCCCGCGGGACACGCATGGCAAAGGCCAGCAGCCCGCCGGGGCTGCGCTCCCGTACCGGGTGACCCCAGCGCTGTGGTGGGTGGTACCGCTGGTGGCACCAGAGGCAGGTGAGGGGGAGGGCGGCACGGCACGGTGCCCGAGCCCGTGGGGCCCGCGCCCGGCTCTGTACGTGGGCACAGAGGCCGTGAGGAGCCAACCGCGCGCGGGGCGAGCGGGACCCT